TTCTGTCTCCCATCTCCCCTCACTGACAGGACTTCCATCCACTACTGAGCTGATGAGGGAGTTTTGCACTTGGCTTCTTTCATTCGTCTTAACGTTTGCCAGGTTTGCGCCCATTCTAGCACAAAGCAGGACTTCAATCCCTTCCGTGGCTGTTTGGAGACACTGCGTTTGGTTTGCCCTTCAGCTGATGGACAGCGCTGATTGCATCCACACTTCAGCCATTCTGAATGTCAGGAACAGTCACATGAGAGTCTTTGCTTGGACATTTGTTTTCAGTCCGACTGGATATACACCTCAAAATCATACGGCGGTGACGCTGTGGTAAGCTTTCTGAGGAGCTGCCAATCTGTCTGCCAGTGCCTGCCTCATTTACATGCTCGTTTCTTTCAGCAATGTAGGAGGGTTTTATTTTTCCACATCCTGGCCACCTTTCACCATTGACAGTCATTTGTACTTTTTAAATCCTTCCGGGCATGGACTAGTACCTTATTATGGTTACTTTTTTCTGATAGGTGGTGACGTTGAGTAATTGTTTAGGTACTTACTAGCTAGTCGTGTTGTTTCTCTAGAGAAATTGTATTCAATTCTTTGCATTCGTTTGCTTTTGAGACAAAGTTGTGCAGTGTAACCCAGCTGCTGGCCTCTCTCATCCAAGTGGTAAGGATCGCTGGTATGTGCCACCAAGGTCAGATAGCCAATATGTCTGTTGGGGTTTGCCAACAGCTGAGGCTACTGCTATCAACTCTGTGTTAGATGTTGAGCCTGTTTTATACAGAGCCAGGTTAAATTTTAGTTTTTACCTGGTGGTCATCAGACCCACCCCAGCCACTCTAGGGATCTTCTAGTAGTTCGGGACTAGTATGTTTTACTGCCCAAAAGGCATATCTCTCTCCCTTTGCCCACACTCCAGTACAGTTATCAGAAAAATGATCCCCATATTTCTGAAAGGCTAAAGGAGGTCTCAGAATACACCAGTGCCCACCATCTGGTGTCTTTCCAACCTCAGCCCCGGGAACTGAAGAAGCTGTGACTCCCATGGTGCCGCAAATGAGGCCTCTCTTCAACAAACCTGAAGCTTTGACTGGCTTTAGTCACCCTGTGGTGCGTTTGGCTGCTTACTTTTACTTCTACGGCCAGGATGGACATGGATTTGCTGGCAGAACTCCCATTCATGGCACCACAATTTCTCGACTTTTTGACCTCAGGACCTCAGATCCTCCTGCCTCAGCCTCCTGAACACTGTGATCGCACGTGTGTGTCACCAAGCTCAGCCTGAATATTCAAACTTTTTGGTTGATTTAAGGGACATCCTTCAATTTGCTTTCCAGTGTGGCAGAATCTGATTCAGCCCAATATTCTTCACGTCTTGGGTCAGTTGAACCCACACCATCACTGGGTCAGCATACCAAACTCTTAACACATACCACAAGACATCAAACCACCATGCCTTGGGGCTGCTGCCCATGCCACTTCCCCTAGAAGAATCATCCTCCAGGTCAGATAAGGCCCCCAGAATACATGAGCCCATGAGCACCAAGCATCCTACGCTCTCTCCTCAACAATCACCTCTGCTGACTTGGCCCTAACGTCACCTCCTCCAAAACCTTTTCTCACCACAGGGAGAATGAATAGTTTTCTCCTTCTCTGTTCCAACAGTTATTTATAAACGGAGGAAACCCTCGGTGTTCATAAATTCAACCTTCCTCGTTCAGCCAACTTGGAACGACTAACAAGTCTACAACGTGTCACCATTTGTCATTTGACCCAAACAAACGTGAGAGCTGTTCTTTGAAGAGCCAGGAAGAAAAGGAGGAGTCACTTCCCACTGGGAGCCTCTCATTAGTCCAGCCACACAGGCTCACATCTGTCACCTTCTGCTCTAAGAACAATATTTATTTCTGGGACTGGACATGTAGTTCAGTGGTAGATCGCTTGCCTAATATGTGTGAGGCCCTGGGTTGAATCCCCAGAACAAGGGGCCAGCGTTCTCATGTGACAGTATTCATTTTATATAACAAAGTAACTTGTAGCCTGGATGAGGTGGCAATTCAGTCTCCAACAGCCAACACTGGGGGAGTAAAGTAGAAACAAAGAGTCTAAAGATGTTGGCTCTTAAAGTTTGCATAGCTCCTCACCAATGTCAGAGAATTGAGTCAGTGCCATGAACAGACCATGTCAGAAACAGAAGCACATATTGGTGTCTTTCCATAATGTCAGAATTTATTGAATAAAAAACCGCTCACAGGCTAAATTGGCTTCTTGGCATCAATTTGCCAAGTAATCTTAACTTTCATCATAGCTGGCCAAGGCAAGCACATGTTCTTTTAATCCAACTTTAACTGCTAATATTAACTTTCAGATCACTCATTACATACCATGTAATAATATATGGATATTTATCAGTCATATATATACNATATTTCAGTGTGTGTGTGTGTGTGTGTGTGTGTGTGTGTGTGTGTGTGTGAGAGAGAGAGAGAGAGAGAGAGAGAGAGAGAGAGAGAGGTGTGTGTGTGTGTGTATAGTCAAAGAACTTCCATAAGGGGTGAAAAAGGGTTCATTTAGAGTAGTGATTCTCAACCTGTGGGTCTTGACCCCTTCAAGGTTAAACCACCTTGAGTCACATATCAGATATCATGCATATCAGATATTTACAATTCCTAACAGTAGCACAATCACAGTTATGAATTAGCACCGAAAGTAATTTTATAGCTGGTGGGTCATCACAACATGAGGAACAGTATTAAAGAGTTCAGTGTTAGTAAGGTTGAGAACCCTGCTCTAGATCCTGAGAGGCAGGAGTCAGGGAGGGGGAGAGAGTCAGAGGACTAGCCTAACTGGAGGTCTGCTGTAGGGTCAGAGTCGAGAGGAGCTCAAACTGAGCTGCTGGAGCAATCTGCCAGAAGCTACAAAAGCCAAGGGCCCGCTGGGGTTCAGATTCACAGACAGATTGAAAGCAGGTCCAGATGTTCAAACGGGCAGACAGACGGACAGCAATGTGAGCAGAAAGGATCAGCAATGGTGGCTGAGCTAAGCTAAGGCCCTGGGACAGTTGGGAATTCTCTGTGGCTTCCTTGATGTGCACACCAGGTGGTCAGATGACAGGTGGGGGAGTTTGACCCTTTCCTCAGTTCTGGTGTGTCCAATAAGTTAGTGGACCTGGCTTCCCAGATATGATTTCCGCATATACTCTGCTCCTTTTGTCTCAGTTTACCTTGGTAGCGTCTTCTCCATCATACCAGGCAGAGAGTGTTGTTTCTATGCCAACCAAGGGCAGAGCCTGCTTCAGCATCTGTACCCAGAAGGAGTCAAGTGCGGTTTGTAAAATGGAGTCTCTCCTGGCAAAGCACAGCCTAAAAATACAAAGCCTGACCCCCAACAGGTCTTGGCAAGTCCACATGGGCACATAATGTGCCAGAAGACCAGCTCTGAACAGCACCTCCGCACCTAACGTCCTTTCCAGACGGGGTAAAAGGGAGGGCCTTCCCACCTGGCATTTTACCTACATGGAAAAGTCATGCTGGCGCTGGCCGGTGACTCTCGTTCTTTTCATCACCCAGAATGTGGGCGTGGTCTTTCTCTAAACCACACAGGGATCCCTCTGAGTCTGAGCAGAGGGGGTTCCCAAGCCCTAGAGTTTCATCAGATAATCTACCTACATCCTACTGCAAACCATCTCTGGATAACTTAAAATACCTAATACAATGTAAATTGTTACTATATTATTAAGGAAATAATAACAAAAACAAATCCCTGCATGTTCAGTACAGGGGCTCACCTGTGGAGGCCAACAAACACCGTATGAGAGTGTTGGCTTTCCCGGCTTTCTACGGTGGGACCCAGGGTCCAAACTCATGTTGTCAGGTCTAATCATCAAGTGTTTTTACCCACTGGGTCTGCCCACCCTCCTCCCCACGGATTGGGAACTCTAATCTCAGGGAGCCCTCTGCTCTCTTTGGCAATGGATCCCATCTATACTAACACTACTTTTCCTTGCCGTTTTGCAGTCTGTATGAGCTTCTTCAGGTCTCTGATTTTGATGTCAAGAATCTGTAAATGCTTGACCCAGACAGCAACCCCTAATTAGACAAGCCCACAGGCTACGGAGAACTGACAGTAGTAGGTGTCGGGATGAGGATGCTTTAAGAAGCATCCTCCGGCCAGAAACATCCACACCACTCTGAAACCTACTGGAAATACAAATCTGTACCCCTTACCTAGAGTGACTGAATCAAAACCTCTGAGGATGGGGTCCAGAACTGGATGGAGTCCTCCCCCCAAACCAAACTTGGGTATCACCGGCTTAAAATCATGGTTCATCCTGACCCTACCTAGGCGTGGGGCCTCCTTGAATGAGGCACATTCTAGAAGCTAAGGAGAGGGGAATGCCGTTGGTAGAGGGCATTCTTCTGTCACTGGATTTCCGCGTAGGTACACCACCTGCACTGTATACGCTTGGATTTTCTCGCCCACTCCTAACCCAGCAACACGCTTCTTGGGGGCACGGGTTTTTTGCCCCTCATTCCAGTTTCCATCCCTGCCACCATAGAAGCACTCACTCCCTCCTTGTTGGCCAGAGGATAAATATTAAAGCCGCCTCTCCTTTCTAATTGCCCGTTCCCTGAACAGCTGCTTCCTGCTGCTCTCCATTCAAAGAACAGATTCACACGGGCTCCTGTGAGGGAGCCAAGAGCTGTCTCTTCCAGGGAGTCTGAGAACAATTATCCCTTTGCATGCGGGAACAAGAGGAGGCCCTGGCTTCTTGAATGCTGGTCCGACCTTAACGTACATTCGTTTTTGTTCACGGGTGTCCTCGGAGAGCACAGCTATACAATAGCCCAGAACTGAACATGGTGATTATTAAACTGAGTTCTTGCTGCCAGCTCCTGCCTGGGGCTCTCTCTCTCTCTCTCTCTCTCTCTCTCTCTCTCTCTCTCTCTCTCTCTCTCTCTCTCTCTCAGAAGCAGCTGTACTCTGGGAGTCAAACAAGATCTGGAAATGTTAAGTCCCCGGGCTGCCTGCTGGGGCAATGCTCGCTAGCGGCTGCTCTCATTTGGTCTGCCCAGTCCAGGGACCCGGATAAACATCTTGGGCTTTCTCACGCCACCGTTATTAGGTAGGGCACACTGGAAAGGAGTGATGGAAGAGTAACTGTGGGGTGGTTTAAAGCAAAGGCATGGAAGCAGGAACAATGGGACTAACGCACGCATGGGGTACCGCTGAATCCATCCTCAGGGGCCTTCTCGTCCTCACTCAGTGGGGTCTCTTCTTTGGCTTCACTCTCGGGCAAGATCTCATGGAACAGCCAGGGGCAGCTCTACACTAATACCGCAGGATGTCTGGTAACCACAGCCTTTCTTTCACCACAGGGTGAAAAGAGTTGAAGAAATCACAGGGACCTTCCAGCGTCAAGGATTGCTTCGGTTGACAGGTACACTCAACTTGGAGGAGGGGCATTAGGTCTGCCAGGGGTGGGAGCCCCTCTTACCAGAATCACATGGACGGAGAATAAACAAACTCGCCCCTCCCCCCAAAACCATAGTGTTGCTATGGGGGTAGAGGACGGATAGCTGCCTGGGAGGCAAAATTCACAGATACTTCAGGCTGTGTGCCAGGTTTTGCACCCCTGAGTAACACTTCATTTTGGTTTTTAAAGACACCCACATACTGCAGAGCTGGGTATCATGTTCCAAAACAAGGAGAAAAAATAACGTCCCTCTGAAGGAAGAAAGTGGCTAGATGTAGGTCCCAGTTCTCCGGGCTTGTCAGGAGGTGACAACACAGGTTGTCTGTGGGGGGGGTCTGTGTGTGTGTGTGTGTGTATGTGCACATGCGTTCGTGTGTGTGTGTGTGTGTGTGTGTGTGTGTGTGTATTTAGTCACCATCAGCATCTGTCTCAACAATCAGCTTGTCGGGAGGGGACGACACAGATTGTCTGTGGGGGGCTCTGTGCACTTGCCTTGTGTGTGTGTGTGTGTGTGTGTGTGTGTGTGTGTGTGTGTGTGTGTGTAATTTAGTCTCCATCAGCATCTGCCTCAACAATCAGCTCCACACACTACCTCTATTCTGGTCCTCCACCCCCGCCTCCACCCCACACGCACTCCCACCATTTCTTGGCTCCTTTTACTGTCTTTTGTAATCTCCAGTTAATACCTGCAGTATTTTATTTGTAGGAGGAAAGATTTCTTTCTTCTTCTTTTTTTTTCTTTCCTCTTTCTCTTTTACCCTTCTTCCTCCCAGGGTTGAATTCAAAATGGATCCAAATAACACAACGGTGCAGACAGGCTTCTTAGTGATTTTTTTTTAAGCTGAGATGTGTCAGTGATTTGGATCCCTCCCTGTACCACTCCCCCAGGGCCAGCCTTCTCTTGCCAGCACTTTCCTGGCTCAAGGCCCTGGGTTCATCCAGGAAAATACTGGATGAAGCTGCAAGTACACAGTCCAGGCTGAGGGAAGGGTTGAAAGTTCGGGGAAGGGAAACCCACAAGCAAGGCTGAGGAGTAAATGTCAGGAGGGTAGACCAAGGAGGCCATTTTTCCCTGTTGTTTTTAGGGCACTCCCTTCCCTCATCTTCAAGGGACTAGCAAAGCATAACTTAGAAGGACATAGTTTTTACATCAAAATCAAGGCTTTGGTCCCTTCCACTTGGCTTTTGCTACAAGTTTGAGAACTGATAAAATTATTAGATGGCAGTTAGGAAAGGAAGAGAGGCCAGGGAGAAGGTTCAGGGGTACAGTGCTCGCCTGGCATGCAAGACCAAGAGGTTAGAACCCCTAATACCACAAATATTTGGCATAGAGTGCAGGAGGAAGTTGGGAGAGCAAAGAGAAAACCAGCAAAGGAAAAAGCAATTTGTCTTAAACTGGTCAAAACTGGAGTCCTGCACACAAAGTTGGGAAGCCTGGAAGGAAGACCGGAAGCCAGAGAAGAGGCCCAAGTCTCCGGCTCTCCAGGACCCTCTTAGGAAGGTCTTCCAGGCCCCCCCAGGACCCTCTGAGGAAGGTCTTCCAGGCCCCATGCCTGCACTTCATCAGAAAGCCATCTGCAGGCTGGATCAGACAGCTATCTACTTTCCAACACGGGGAAACCGGAGCGATTACAGAGGCATTTATTTTTAAAGGCATTAAGCTGGTAGGTTGTAAATCTGCATAGAAAAAGCTTTTGCTGATTTCCAGATCTCTATTGTGTCTATTTCTCAAGCAAATACAGGTTATCCCTTCCATCTGTTGAACTTGTAGCTCTCCTGCGTGGAACTTATATCCATCCTTTCCAAGGGACTCTTTCTGTAAGCATGAGCTCTCCTGCTCTCTCTCTCTCTCTCTCTCTCTCTCTCTCTCTCTCTCTCTCTCTCTCTCTCTCTCTCTCTCTCTCTCTCTCTCTCTCTCTCTCTCTCTCTCTCTCTGTGTGTGTGTGTGTGTCCTCCCAACCCTTTGCTCACTCTGTGTATGTGCACCCATGCATGCACACATGCATGTATGTGTATGTATGTGTGGCTGTATTTGGGTTTGATTTTGAAACAAGATGTCATTATGTAACCCAGGAAGACCTTCCTGCTTCAGCTTCCCAAGAGACAGGGTTGGAAGCTAACACCTCTAACACTGTTTCTTTGTAGAAGTTAGCTTGATTCGGGAAATAACCAGGCTAGCTAAAAGATAAACAATTTATATTTTTATTTATTATAAGGGGAAAACCTTACAAAACAGGAAGAAGTCCAAGCTCAGCTGTGCTGTGAGGGAACCACAGAGAAAGAGAGAGCACCTGGATTGGGGGGAGCGGGCTTTTTTCTCTGGGTCCCAGAAAGCCACACCCTAATTTGGTCCCATCTCTTGAAGATAATTGGCTAACAAAGTTTCCCCATCACCGCCCCCTTTTGTCTAAACAAGAGCAAGAGCGATCCAAACCCAATACAGAACTATATACAATAAGAACAGATATCAAGTATAAAATTACAAACAACATAAACAATATTAAGCAAGGAACACATGATAAATGTTTTAATAAACATTCTATTTCAAAGAGTCTAAGTCTTGCATCAGAAATAAGCTTGGCTAAATCATGAGAGGAAGGTAACTATGACTATCTAATCTTTAACCCCATCAAAGGCCTGAAAAGGGAGATAATATTACTTGAGTAGTCAGGAAGTGCAATCAAGCAGCTTCCAAAGCAAGAAGTATATGACAGAGACAATTAGCTACCTGAGCAATCACCCAAAGTACCATTTGCAACATTGAAGCAACCAACTTTGGCTAAGGCCTAGCATAAGTAACAGACCACTTTTAGAGGCAGGGAATGTTGAGAGAAGGAAAAATTGACTTTCTCAGGGAAGAGCACACCGATTAGCTACCCAATTCCAAGTGGTCAGCCCTAAAAACAAGTAACATTGTACAAGCTGAAAAGGTTATATTTAGAAATATATGCATACACACATATATAATATATATGGAAAAAAGACCATGAATTTAAAAGAAAACAGGGAGGTACCCCTTTCAAATATGGGGTTGGTTGAAGGGAAAGGGAAGGAAGGGGAATAATGTAATTATGTTATAATCTCAAAAGATAAAGAAAATTTTTAAAGAAAATATTCCCTCTACCCAAGAGTGTCTAGGTTTGTGTCAAGTTCACAAAAGCCAACTGGCATAGCCCTCTCACCAGCCTCTCTAAGGGTCTTCATCTGAGACATTTATTTGTTTTCTACAAACCTCCAAGTCTCATTTAATTTTCTTCTCCCATCCTTCACAGCTACCACCTTCTGGGTCTTCTGTGTCGCGGTTGTTAGTGGCAGACAGGAACACTGCGTTGTCAGTTTTCTATCATCAGTATAACAAACACCTGAGGAAAATCGGCTTATAGAAAGAAGAAAGGTTTATTCTGACTCACGATCTTGGAGACATCATATGGTGAGTCGGTCCTTCTGCTTTCGGGTCTGTAGCAAAGCACCGTGTCACAGCAGGAGAACTCGGCACAGTGCACCTCGGAGTCACCTAATAGCCTAAGAGTCATCCTAATAGAATGAGGAGGGAGAGAATGATGCAGAGACCATGGTACCGAAATCCTGAAGACCTAAACATCTGCCAACAACAGGCCCTACCTCTTGAAGTTCCTGCCACGTTCCAGTGCTGCCACACTGGTGATCAGTGGGGACATTCCAGATGCAGATGACAACACTAAGTACCAGAGATTTGTTAAAACCTATTTGTGAGGCACTTCTGAGGGAATCAGGAAACCAACCTTGGACTAAGAAAAAAGCGGGGTAGCATCTTCTAACGATTACCTGCCTAGGGGCACTGCACACTACTGAAGCATAGCTAGTCACATTGTAGACATCTTAGATTTATTTATTACAGCTTCCAGCAGATGGTGTCTTGTTCTAATACATTAGTATGCAAATGACGCTCTTTTTAACAGATGGATTTAAAGTGCCTTGAGCAGAATTAGGTATAATTTTCTACGTTTCCTTTTCCAGTGTTGCTGATCAAATTCAGGTGCTTGTATGCCAGGCAAACACTCTAACGCTGAGCTACGCTGGGGCTCAAGTACCCCTTTCTGATTAATACAATCATGTCATACAAGTTAGCAGCAGCTACGCCAACATGTATGGAGCAACAGAGACTCTCCCACAGCTGTTCCAGAAGAAAACAGAATCCTTCACCTTGGAAGATGTCCCCTCACCCAAGCAGGACCTCTCTGGGATCATCTTAAAGTTGAAACGCCCTCCTAATCATGACATCACCAGGAAATACACCTCTGGTTGTGACGAGGGGAATGTGTCCAGAAAAGAGGTCTTTCATTTGCTTTCTGATGCTGTGATAACTATTCTAACAGAAGCAACTTGGGAAAGAGGGGCTTCCTTTGGCACCAAGTGCATTGTTGTGGGGAAGTCACAACATTGGGCACTTGAAACAACTGGCGTCTGCTGCCAAGAAGCAAAGAGCGATGAACGCCAATACTCAACTCTTTTTCTCCTTTTCCTTGCTCTGCAGATCCCAAGCCAGCGGATGGTTCCACCCACAGTGGGCGGGTCTAGCCACCTCAGTTAACCTAATCAAGGTAGTTCCCAAAGGCACGCCCAACACCGTCTCCCAGGGCACTCTAGATCTTAGCCAACTGACCACTGAGACTAACCATCACACGGAGCAGGCAACACGCAGACGTGGGCGGCGTCTTCCACGCTTTCCGGAGTTAGCAGAAAGGGGTGGTGAATTGAACCTTGGTGTTCAGCTCCATCTGCTTCCTCACTGTGGACACCGTGTGACTGGACGCCTTGTACTCCGGCTGCCGTGCCTTCCCCTCAAACTGTGATCCAAAATAATAAACCCTGCCTTCTCTAACTTGATTTTGTCCAGCATTTAGTCACAGCGACAAGTAACCAATATAAGTTCATAGTCGAACAGGATCTTAGCGAGCAGGGCCCCGTTAGAGAAACCGGGTCACTTCAGGTATGTTTGCCCCATCCCACCTTTCAGACCGCCACAAGGGAACAGTTTTCCTGGGTCACGCCTGTCCACCACATGTTTCTGCCTTGTCCCAAGCCTCCAAGCAATGGAACATGAGCCAGCCATTCCTTCTTAAGTTGCTATCCACAGGCATTTTGTCACCATGACCTAAAGCTGATAAACACGACGATTGCTATGGTGAGGTATTAGGAAGTGGGACTGCAGAGCTGTGATTGGCCACCAGTACTCTGTCTTCATGGATGGGTCAGCCCATTCATGTAATTGATGGTTTGCTGGATGAATGAGTTATTTCAAGTATGGCTTTGATATAAAAGGGAGTTCTCTACTGCTTGCTAGCCCTGTCTTGTTATAAGATGGGTCACCTTGGGATTCAGAAGAATAGTTCCAGCAGCCACCTCATCTTGAATTTTCCAGCCTTCAAATAGAGAGCCACACTATTCTTTTTAAGTTTGCCTGTGTATTCAGTTATAGCAACATAAAACACAATATGACTGTGATTTTATGCAGAATGCTAACCGCAGAGGAGTCTGGCCAGCTGCGGCTGCCTAGCCCCTGTGTGTAGGAATTCCTGGAATGATGTTCTGAGAGCCAGTCCACAGGGGTGACCCTGGGACTGCAATGGAGCACACCACGGTTCTGCTTTCTTGTGGCCCTGAAGAAAACAGCCTTTGATCTTTAAAAGGCTCTGTAGTCCCTGAGGTGAAAATCTGGAGCAGTATGTAGGAGACATTCTGGAATCAGCAAAAATGTATATTTGCTGTCTGTATGTGTGTATGTGCGAGTGTGTGCATGTGCATGAGTGTGTACGTGCTGCGCTGTGTGTGTGTGTTGTGTTGTGTCGCTGTACTACATGGCCTCATGCAGCTTCCACTGACCCAAAAGCCATAGTAGCAGCAGCCACAGATGACTTAGAGTTCCTGATCCTCCCTCCCACTTCTACCCCCTACGTTCTGAGACCGCAGGCATGCACCACCACCAGGCCAACGTTTCCTTCTTATGATTCATTGTGCTTTGCAATTTACTAGTCGAAAGTTGTGTTATATTTACAAGGCCGCGAACAATCTCCAAAAGGTCTTCCTGTATTACTTCAGTTCATACTGACACACGAATGGAGCTTTGCAAGAAGTCAGAACACACACACTAATAATTAGCACCTTCAACACCTGATACTCCATCAAGATGACAGCAAAGGAAAACAAGGGAAGAAAAGTATCAACAGCTGAGAGACTTCCGAGACTAAAGACACAAAAAGTGCCTGACTCAGAGGAAACACAGAGAGTTCTGTAGAGTTAGGTCAAGCGGTCAAGCTGTCCCCAAACACTCGCTCCTCCTGCAGCTGAGAGAGCCCCTGAACTGCAGGTTCCATGTATCTACTCATTCACAGTCCAACAGGCAACACAACCCACGTTCTCATCAGTTCCCTTGCTTCTCAGTCCTCGAGGGGTGTGACCAAAGCTGGCCAGGTAGAGATCACTTTGGAATACTGAGTGTGAGACCGGCTAACGAGGGAGCCACTAGCCAGCCTGGGTCTCCTCTGCCTCAGAGACAATCATTATCTACATTATAGTGATCAGACAAAACAGCAGTCCTCTTATCTATGGGGCAACACTTTCAACTTCTAAAGCTGTTTGCCAAATGATGCTGAGATGAGGGTCTATGGGAAAATGTACGAAACCACCAAAGGAACAGGCTCTGATCAAGGCAGAAGGAAAAGCAATATGGAAGACCAAGAGGTTTTTTTTTGGGGGGGGGGGGAGTTGGTTTGTTTTTGTTATTTGGGGGGAGTGGCATGCCTCAACATTGTTCTAAGCCTAGGTGTAGACAAAAGTCACACAGAACCTTCTTATCCCCTCTACTCCCACAATCACTATAGGGATATGGCAGTAGAGTAGAGACCCGGGACAGGAGTGGCAAGACCCTCTTACTCAGATTCATAAGCTAACCCTTGACTTGATACGTCCACACTCTTTTGAATTAACCAATGTGGTGATATTTTCTTTGTGCTTTAACAAATAAAGCTTGCCTGAAGATCAGAGTGTGGAACTAGCTACCCACACTGGTTAGCCTTAGAGGCCAAACAGTGAAGGTGTAGCTCTTGGGAGACAGAGGCAGACTGGTCTTTGTGAGTTCAAGACCACCCTGGTCTACACCAGATTGAATCAGTCTAAAAGAGAAACAGAGCCAAATGGTGGTGGCTCCCACCTTTAATCCCAGCACTACTGAAGTAGGGACCGGAAGTGAAATGGCTGGGCAGAGAGAGGCATGCAAGGCAGGAAGAAACAGGAGCATTCACTCTGAGGTTTCTTAGAGACAGCACTCAGTCTGGGGATTCCTGGAGATGGATCAGACATTTGGTCTGAGTGTCAGGAATCAGAGGGGAAAAATGAAGTCCATGAGGGGAAGAAGCACGGAAAACTAGAGCTAAGACTGGGGGATCTTCTAAATCACTCATAAAGTATTCCAGACACCCCAGAGCAGAGGCTAGCCAGCTATGGAGAACAAGAGCTGTATGTTTGCACAGGATGACCTCACACCTCACTCACGCCTTGCTGTTGATACTTTAAAGTCTTGTTTCTGCCTAAGACCCAACCGTCTTCATTTTGGGCTGACTTGTGTAAATTATGTAGCTTATTCATAACCTGGTCAAAACACTACGGTGTGGAACTCAGAAAACAGAAGCTCCAAATACTTAGTTCATGTTTCACTTCAAGTTAAGCTAACTTCTTTCTTTTTTAAAAAGTTGCTTATTTTTATTTTTGTGGTATGAGTATCTTGCTTGCATGTGTGTCTATGCACCCTGTGCATGTCCTGCGCCCTCTGAGTTCCAAAGAACTATCAGTGGTTATGAACCACCACGTGTGTGGTATGGAGGCCACTCGTTTGTTTCCCAGCCACCCTGACCCGAAATACTATAACTATACTATAACACAAAAACTATATTATTTGCAATACTCTCTGGCCAATAGCTTAACCATTTTGCTAGCTAGCTCTTACAGCTAGAATTAACCCATTTCCATTGTTGTATATTTTACCACGTGGTTCATAGCCTACCAGGAAAGTTCTGGTTGGTGGTTTACGTCTTTCTCCTCTGGCAGCTCCATGGCATCTCTTTGACTCCTCCAACTCTCTCTCTCTACCTTTTCCAGCCTGCCTACACTCTGTTAAGTCATTGGCCAAAAGAAGTTTCTTTATTAATTAACCAATAAAAGCAACACATAGACAGAAGGGCTTCCCACACCATTTCCCCTTTTCTGTTTAAATAAAAAGGAAGGAGCCGGGCGGTGGTGGCACATGCAGGAAGTAAATCTTCAAAAGACATGTCATTGTTAGGGCTACCTGTCCTTAAAAAATACACACAACAGGAAAAAAAAATAGAAACTGAGACTTTGCAGCACAAAGACTGAATAAATGCTCAACACAGAAATGTTTAACATGAGCCGGGCAGTGGTGGCACATGCCTTTAATCTCAGCACTCGTGAGGCAGAGACAGGCGGATCTCTGTGAGTTCGAGGCCAGCCTGGTCTACAAGAGCTAGTTCCAGGACAGGCTCCAAAGCCACAGAGAAACCCTGTCTTGAAACACCATAAAATAAAAAGGAAGGTTTTAACTTTAACATAGTAAAATTGCATATAGCAAAAAAGGGGGAGGTTATGGGGAAGGGGAAATGGTGTGGGAAGTCCTTCTGTCTATGTATTGCTTTTATTGGTTAATGAATAAAGACTCTGATTTCAGCCAATCGCTTGGCAGAGTGGAACTAAGCAGGGAAAACTAAACTAAAAGAAGGCAGAGTCAGGGAGATGCCATGTAGCTCCGCCAGAGACAGACACCAGAGACAGACACCAGACGGAACCTTGCCAGTATGCCACAGCCACATGATGATACACAGATTAATAGAAATGGGTTAAATTAAGATGTAAGAGTTAGCCAATAAGAAGCTAGAGCTAATAGGCCAAACACTGATTTAAATAATATAGTTTCTGTGTGAT